ACTGATCATGACTGAACTGAAAATTTAACTAAAATACTGAACTGAACTGACTAACTGACTAGATTGAAAATACTGAACTGATAACTTAAATGATTATACTGAACTGAGTGACTGAACCGGTATAACTGAAATCAGTTAAAATCGAAACTGAATTGACATAACTTTACTAAACTGAACTGGACTCGGAACTAAAATTTGGACATGAACTCGAACTGGAATATTTAATTTTTAAATTAAACCGAACCTGTTTGAACTGGCCGATCTGAGGTCTGGCCGGACCGCCGGTTCAGTGTGACCGGGTGGTCGGCTGCTGACTCGGCCAACCGGCCTGTTAAGGCCGTGGGCACGGCTGTTGTGGGTACTGGGTATGGCTTAGTGCACGGGCATGGCTGCTCACTTGCACTTGCGTGTTGCTGGGCATGACGCGAGGCACAGGCGTGCATATCGCGCGCACTGACAAGCCCTCGCATACTGACTGAGCGTTACTGGACGTGTATAATGGTGACTGGCGTTGCCGAGCGCTATGTGCGTCCGCTATCACGCAACTGGACACAACGGAGTGCTACCGCACACCGCAATGTGTGTCACATGAACGCGCAAACAGGCACTGGCTATGCATGACTGAGTACCGCACGGGCGCTGCCGGGCGACCCTAACGGCACTGGGCATTCGAGCGTGCTATCGGGCACAGCCCGAGGACGACTGGCGTGCATTGGAACGCACAGGCGTGCGTTGAGACATGCCGACGTGCACTGTGCACTGGCCGACTAACATGGCTACGGATCGAGGCTGCACGCGACGCCCGGTTAGGCATACACGCACAACATCCGCCTGTCTTGGACTGACTGCCGGTACGCTGTGGCCGCTGTGTGCGGGCAGCGTGACCACGGCCGGCCCTTGCCGGCCGTCCGGCGACATACTCCGGCCATTGCTACATGAATTGACATGACTTGAAATAACATGACCATAACCACATGAATTTCGTAAAAATACCTAGTAATACCTTGACGTGGCTCGGAACGGACATGTAGCATGCACTATGTGCAGCCCAACGCTACGACCGATACACTCGGCCATTTGCCGGTTTTCTTCGACCGTTTTATACATAAATTAACATAATATACCCTGAAGTGAAATAGATTTCACCCGGGCTCCTTCAGCTCGACCAACCTCCGTACCTGCAAGAACCCAACGCTGGGGGTGGCCTCGGCGTCGGGCCTCCGATGCCTAAGTCAGTGCTCCATCAAGAGAGAGAGAAAGTGTAGTCATCAAATGAGTAGAGAATGAGAGAATGAGGTACCTTGGCCCCCTTTTATAGGGGGGGTGTACCTTTTGGGCCCAAGTTGGGCTTGACCCCTATCGTTGGGCTTAGATATCTTAGTGGGCTTATCCTCCAATATGTATCCACTTTATCCATTAAACCGGGTCCAGTATAATATCCTATATCATCTAGTCCCCCCAACTCTGGTCGAGTAAGCTTAACTCGATCCAAGAGTGAAATGCCTCTTCGAGTTGTTTTCTTCAACTTGCCACTAAGATCGAGCATCGAAAGTCGAATGACCATTGAATAACCACTGAAATATCCTCCAAATGAGCTTTTAGATCTCAAGATCGAAAACTAAAAGACCACGGAGGTCGGAAACAGAATGATCTGACATCGGGGTCAAAAACCGAAAGATTTGTCAATAAGGTTGAAAATCGAGAATCAAGACCGCGGAGGTCAAAAACTGAAAATCCAAAATCGAGAGACCTGTCTCTGAGTCGAACACCGAGAATCTAGAGACTGTTGAGGTCGAAAACTGAAAATCAAGACCGCTGAGGTCGAAAACCAAAAATCCATAATCGAGAGACCTGCTTCTGAGGTCGAACGCCGAGAATCTAGAGACCGTCCTGTCTCTGAGGTCGAGTGCCGAGAATCTAGAGACCGTTGAGGTCGAAAACCGAAAATCCAGAATCGAGAGACCTGCCTTTGAGGTCGAACGCCAAGAATCTAGAGACCGTTGATTGAGGTCGAAAAACAAGAACTGAATGACCACTCCCTGAAGTCTTGAATTTGAAAATTTGAATTTATGTCTATTGTGTTTCGATCACAATGTTCGAGCTCTCTTATACCACCTTGTCCTATCGCCCCTCAGTTCAAAAGTTAAAATTCAAGCCTGTTGTATATTCCTGCTCGTGATGGAATGAATCCCATCTCCCTGCCTTTAAAGTCGAAAAATCAATTCGACAAAACCAAGATAATACGCAATCAACCTGCTTGTGGCGGAATGAATTCCATCTCCCTGCCTTTGAAGTCGAGAAATCAATTCGACAAAACCAAGATAAAACGCCATCAACCTGCTCGTGACGGAATGAATCCCATCTCCCTGCCTTTGAAGTAGAAAAATCAATTGGACAAAACCAAGATAAAACGCAATCAACCTGCTCGTGACAGAATGAATCCCATCTCCCTGCCTTTGAAGTCGAAAAATAAATTCGACAAAACCAAGATAAAACGCAATCAACCTGCTCGTGGCGGAATGAATTCCATCTCCCTGCCTTTGAAGTCGAGAAATCAATTCGACAAAAACAAGATAAAACGCAATCAACCTGCTCGTGGCGGAATGAATCCCATCTCCCTGCCTTTGAAGTCGAAAAATAAATTCGACAAAACCCAGATAAAATGCAATCAACCTGCTCGTGCAGTAATGAATACCATCGATCTACCACCGAGGTCTGCTCGATCTATCTGTAATGAATCCCTGAGTTTGCTCAAAATGAGCCTCCTCTATCTGCCATACTGCTCGAACTATCCATAACGAGTTTGATTGATCTTCCACTGCTCAACATATCCGGTAACGCATTTGATCGACCTGCCACTGAGATCAAAATCACAAATATAGTATAACCAAACCATATAAAACCCTTCATCTGCTCAAACCATCCACAATAAACTCCCGCCACTGCTCGAGCCATCATGAATACTATCGACCTGTCACTGAGGTCAGAGAAACCAAATCCAACAAAACCTGAATTAAATAAAGATCGTCGACCTGCCACCGAGGTCTGCTCAAGCTATATCCGTAATGAATCCCATCTCCCTACCTTTGAAGTCGAAAAATGAATTCGACAAAATCAAAACCATGTAAAGATGCTCGACCTGCTTCTGAGGTCTCCAATAAGCTCCATATCTTCAACGACCCAACATTAGAATCGACCACCCAGCCCGGAGGCCTTAGTCATGGTGGATTTTTTATCTTTGAACACATGCCCACCCTCGAAAGAATGGTCAATACATGCGACCACCCAGCCCGGAGGCCTTAGTCATGGTAGATTTTTTGTCTTTGAACACATGCCCACCCTTGAAGGAGTGGTCGATACATTCGACCACCCAGCCCGGAGGCCTTAGTCATGGTGGATTTTTTGTCTTCGAACACATGCCCACCCTCGAAGGAGTGGTCGATACATGCGACCACCCAGCCCGGAGACCTTAGTCATGGTGGATTTTTTTGTCTTCGAACACATGCCCACCCTCGAAGGAGTGGTCGATACATGCGACCACCCAGCCCAAAGGCCTAAGTCATGGTGGATTTTTTGTCTTCGAACACATGCCCACCCTCGAAGGAGTGGTCGATACATGCGACCACCCAGCCCGGAGGCCTTAGTCATGGTGGATTTTTTGTCTTCG